GAAGAGGAAACAATGATCCATCGCGATGCTACGAAAATGCAACAGAGATAGCTCTCGTTCCTGCTCCTTTCGAAGTCTCAATATCGAATCTAGCCGGCACTAACGAAACGGGGCACGAGCAACGAAGCGCTCGTTATTCCCAAGAACACAATGAACTTGATCCGGTGGATAGCCACGGGAAGAAAAAGCACACGGTCGATCCGCGATCCGTCCTAGAGCCGAGGTTCGCTGGTCCATGCCACTAGGAGACCTAGTCCGCGTCTCTCCAGTCATCCTTAGGCACCCAAGATGGTCAGGCGTGCATGATTAATCGAACGGGCCAAGTTAGGCGAGGGCTATCGGCGTAACAGCGGTGGCGAACAACGAGGAAGAAACAAAGAGCGCGATTGGATCGAGAACGTCTGGGATCGCGGCGGCCGCGAAGCCACGACAGCCAGGCCTACCAAAAGCGCGAACGGCGAATTCCCTCGCGCATTAAATTACCTCGTGTCGAAACGGTTATCATATAACATTATCTCGCGGACCGGTCGAACGTTCACCAGGAATGTCCGAGTGCGCCATCGATATACTCGAAGCAGACCAACGGTGGAATCGTAATTCACCGCGGGGGCTCGTTAAGACCGCGCTAAAGTCGTAACCGCGGCGCGTAATGAAATTAATATAAAGACCGGTGTAACGTTCGCTCGATATCGAGGCGAGTCGAGTAAATAATTGGCCAGGTTACGATCCAAGAGGTCGTATCGTGAATTTCAGTTGGACCTTTGGCGAGAGAATAAAGATTAGTTTCGCTGTGCCGTCGGACCAGGTTAGGTAGAATTAAATCCAACTCCGTTTCCGCGTGATTCGAAGAGCATCGAAGTCCCTCGGATGGTGATCCTTACGCGAGGAACGCGACAGCCCGTGGCCTCAGAGCCGGAGCTGCCAAAGCCGCCAGTATGGCCGCCTCTCGCGCGAGACGACCAAGGACGGCTTCGATGCACTCGATTGAATTTAATTTGCTCGTTTCCACGTTCGACGATTTCCCTTTCGGTAGCCTGTTCGACTTCCTCGGGAATCGTAACGGCGAAGGTGAGCCGATCTCGGAAGCGCGCGACGGACTGGCCGAGATTTCGTTGCACCGCAGTTTCACGACGGCTTCGTTTCTCGTCTTGCCTGTAAATCAAGCCGCGGCAAAAAATTGCATGCCCATGCTAATGTCCGGCGATTGCACCGTGCTCGTAAAAATGTCACGTTCGTACCTGCGCTCCTGGCCGAATGATCTTTCGGCGAGTTGCGTCGCACACGTCTCACGTCCGTTCGTTTTAAACCAGTTTATAACGTTTTTCGGTTTCTTTTCTCGCTTATCTCGCGCCTCGATCCGCAAGATTAACGCGGTATATTCCGTGCATGGAGGTGCAAAGGGAAGGAAAAAAGGCCGCGTGGCGTCTCAATCGAGTGATGAGAATGCGACCCGACGACACTGTGCTTCTCCCAAGATTCTCTCTACGAGGAGTATAAAAGCTCGATCGGTCCTCCGACTCGCTGGCGACTTGGTCTCGCGGATTTTTCATCACGGAATCAAGTGGGCGTGCGTGTGGCTCGTCTACGATAGGTGGGATCACGGCAATGAGCTTAACAATGGCATTGCGGTACTGCTCGAATTTAATTTGAAAGCAGCGAGGCCCATTGTACGTGTACACGCAGACGTATAAATAGACGGGGTCGGTGCGCGTGCCCACGCAGCAGCTTTATGCCACCGAACATCCCCGTTTCTCTCTCCCTCTTCCTGTCTCCTTTTATCACTTTCCTCCTCTCTCGCCTCGTACCGAGTCGAATTTACATTTACAACCGCGCGCGCGCGCGCGGCTTCTAGAAAAAGAGCATATAAATTCTCGTTAAATGCGATTCTCCAGGACTCTGCGCTGTCGCGACGGATTCATCCTCGCGTCGCGAATTTCACGGTAAACGCTGCTCGCGTAAACGGGTTAGGTCTCGCGATGTGAATGGTGTTCGTATTTTTCGACAGCTGAAAACGCACATCTCTCGAAACTTTCCAGTTCGTGAATAATTTTCTTTCGCTCATCGAGCGTTCGTTCGCGAGTCCGGAGGGTCGCGGGTTATAAATTTTCCGAAGGAGTCTCGCGACGATCGGCGAGATAACGGATAAGAACGTAACGCGATGACAGGCGAGAGGCCTCGAAAGACGGCGTTCGGGGACGGCATTGTCGTGGAGGAACCGTTTTATTGCCGTTTGCGCCAGTCCAGAGGCGAGGATCTCGGCAGGCGAGGACATTGTTCGAACCTCTGGGAGACTCTCATGATTGTCGTGCTTTCCATTCTCGTAATAGTGGCCGTATTCAAATAACGTCGGTACACGTTTACGCATCGCGATCGTTGGGCAATCGGGAAAAAAAAAAGGAGGAAGCGACCCGCAGACGTTCGCGCAACTCCGCTCCACTTGACACCGACGTGCCACATTCGATCTTTCCGAATCGCTTCCTGCTGCCTCGCGAATACGCGATTACGCGAATACCTCGCGATTAACCGACGTTTTTTCATGCCTGTGATCCATGGTTCTCTCGCGAGGCGAGGCTCGTCCGTTTGGAAACGAGCGGCTGGAATTCGCGTTGCTTCCGAGCAACGCGAAGAATGTCCCTCGACAAGGAGATTAAGCGATCGTCGTTGGAAAGTATCTCTGTAGTCTAGATACGAGGGGAATCCTAGAAGCTAAACCGTCCCGAGCACCGTCACACCTGCGTGGCTCGCGATAAATCGGTTTGTTTCGTGCTGCCCTCGATCCCGACGTTATCGATCCGCGGAGCGTTAATTGTACGGACCGTCTATGCAAATTGCCGCGCAAATCCGCGGGAAAAAATTGAGCGGTAGTCGGCGTTGAATTATTACGCAGATAGAGGAGACGCGGTCGCGAGGAATCGCTAATGGCGTGGCGCGGATCGGATCGGTAGTGGCGGCGGGAACGGCGCAACCGGTCGAAAAGAAAGAAAATAATGGAGCAGAGAGAAAGAGAAAGAGAGAGAGGAGAAGCGAAGGAAGGCCGATGCTATTGGTTTCGCGCGACCGTTAACGGTCTTGTCGGTCTATTTCGATCGGCGTGGCCCCTACAACAAAAATCGAGGCGCCTCGCCGCTGGCTTACCTGTTATCAATTAACTGTTAACGTTGCTGCACCCTCGGAACCGTAAGTGCTGCGTGCACTATCGAACCGGCCTGTTCTCTATGAATAATGTATCTCGGTTCGGGGAATTCGTGGCATTTAATCATTGAATCGTTAAGAGCGGACGGACGACCGACTTGCGGAGATTTATGCGGCACCCACGAATATTCCTGCACCGTCATGAGAATCCTCCGCCGCGCCTGATGACCTCCTTCGATTCGGTGTTACGCGACACGCGTTAAATGTCGCGTTACCCTGATAATGTTATCGATCGTCGAAAGGTCCTCGTTATACGATCGTAAGGTATAAAGTCCGACGAACGCGACGTCGCATAAACTTTATTACGGATTGTTGCGTTATTTAACTGCTCCTCGTACACTAATGCATCCCGGCTCTCGTTCCTATTATTTGCTCGAAGATATTACGGTTAGGATGGACGTTAAACGAAAGAGAAAAGAAGCGGTAACGGGGAAAAGATTGCGCGGATAATAAACAATAAAATAAATTAACAGGTCGTAGCATTAATGATCCGGAAGGATCATTGCGAATGTTTATTACCTCGCAGCAGCTGTTAGCTTCGATACACGTGCGGTTAATAGCGCCGTGCTTATAAAGGGAAGGCAAGAAGTTTGATCGCTAAATGGGCAGGCTTCGAATCGGTAAATAGCGGTCGTAATAAAGCAACAGCCAGACAAGATAATTGTTTCGACAATCGCGTACAACCCGAGCAACTTTTCGATCGGGACGCGTTACAACGTACACGCTACAGGTAACCACGATTACGCAACGGCGTAATAGATCGCGCGAGTGAAAAATTGCCGGTTCATCGACTCGCGGACTATTACGATATTTCCCATATTACGCGAAAGATCCGGCAATTTTTCCAAACCGAACGGTATCGCGTACGCGACCACCTGGTCGGTAATTCCCCTCGCGCGAATACCCGTCGAAATTCCGCGAATTTTCGCGTTAATCCAACGTCCGACCGATCACCTCCAGCGAGCTTATCTCGCTGGCAGCCGCGATCCCTCGGATGGGCGCAGCCCCTCGCCAGTCCGGAGGCGCGTAAATTTATGAACGAGGAAACGCCGTGGATCGCGGCGGGAACATAGCTTTCGCGGTGTGTCTCGTCGCTTGAGCGGCAGAACGAACCGTTCGGTGATATAAGGACGAGCGTGGGCGACGCTTACTTTTCAAGCGGAATCGCAAGCGCGACTTCGAAACTGGTTCCGAGCGAATTAGACGGCCGCGGGAGACTCGCCGAGTGAAACGCGCGTCGTCGTTCGTGCGTTACGGAAAACGATCTATGGACCTATTCGTCATCCGTCTTTTTATTCGCCTCGTCCGTACCTTATGGAGAACGACCGACTTCTCCGAGACGTGAAGCGATACGTTATCGAATTCCCGCCGCGCGATTCGAGGTTCCGTTTCCCTCGCTTCTCGATCCTCTCGATCGTCTCGGATCTCGTTGAAATTCCTCGCCGAACGAGGGAAAATAAATTCGAGCTCGGGTTGAACGGAGAAGACGCGAGGGATAATAGAGGGGACACCGATGGCTTCTCGCGAGACGATCCATGGGAGAGCAGCGGCAGGAGTACGAACCGAGATTTCATCGACGAGAGACGATCCGACGAGGTCGGTAGCCGGATAAGGGAGCGGAGCAGAAACGTCTCGATCGATTTCAGGCTGGCGCGTTTTCCTCGCGATCTTCGCTCGATTCGCGCGACGACCGCTTCGAACGCGATCGGGCGGCTTCATAAATATTCAGAGGCGCCGGCCGAGGTAACGCGCGAACCCTTGCCAAGGTAAGGGGACGTGAACGGGCAAAGGAAAACAAACGGATTTACCTTATGCGTCATTCCATGACCTTGAAGCCGGGGGTAGCAGGCTGCACTTCCGGTGAACGGTTTCTCACTTTCCCACCTGTTCCGTTCTTATTTCCTTTCCAATTTTTCCCCAATCTTTTCCCCCTGTTTTTCCCGTGTTTGTTCAAACTCGCTCTTCCTCCTCGGTTTTTCCCCGCTTTTTTACTTCCCTCGATCACGCGTTCGCGGCAGTTCCACGAGTTCACCACGGGTCCACGGGAGAAAGAGAGACAGACAGAGAGAGAGAGAGAGAGAGAGAGAGAGAGAGAGAGAGAGCGAGAGAGAGGAGGAGAAGAGGAGGTAGACGAAAAGGAAGAGGAAAAGCAGGAGGCACTCCGGTTTCAACAACGGCACACTATCCTCACACTCGAGCACTCTTCTTCTTCCTCGTTCATCGATCCTCCGGATCGCGGTTCTACGGTTTATCCAGATCGAAACGTCCGATCGTACATCCTGACGGTGTCTGCGAGGCTGAGCGTCGGGCTGTGCGTTCCAAGAGCGGTGCCTCGTGGCGGCAGCGACCACGTGTTCGAGCGACAGATCGCGACGCGCTTCCCTCGCTTTCGATGCGTGTCACGCGGCGGCTCAGAGCTTGCTCCTCCGCGCTGATCGTTTCCGGCTGATCCGGCACGCGGTAACGATTATTTTATCCTAGGACGCGTGGGTCCCTGTGCCGCGTGGCTGGTTGACTAGAAATCGTGTCCACCCCGCGAGTGAACCGTCGTCGCCGTGGATCGCGACGAGAGAACTTCGGGGATCGGATGATGGATCGTTGGACGATCGCACGCGCGGCGAGCTCGCGTATATCGGTAGGTATCCGGTGTGTGGCCTGGCGGTGCGGCGGAGGTGTCGAGGAGGTGTTCCGGCGGGGCGCTCGTGGTTCGTGGTGTCCCGCGTGGTGTTTCCGATCGATCGCGTGGATCGCGTGTCGTGTCGACAGGACAGCCGAGTCCTGACTGCTCGTTCCTCGACTGAGAGAGCACGGAGAAACGGAAGGAGTGAACCACGTTGCTCAGCACCGTCCGGCGATCGTTTGGTGCTCCTTGTCCAGGTCCTCTCTCGAGGCGTGTGATATCCCCCCCGTCGGGCTGCCTCGTGGACGAAGCGGAATATCAGCGAGCGCTCTCGAGGAGATTCGTGAGACGCGACTCGCTGCGAGCCGTGGCTGGCCGAGGCGGGAACGGGGAGAGCCGTGTGGCGTGGCGCGGCGCGGTGAGGCGAGACGGTGCAGGAGACGCGACGACGAGAGGAGGCTGTGTGTACACGGTGGTGAGTAAGCCGAGTGTATCGGTGAGTAAAGCTGCGTCGCGCGAGCGAGCCGCGAGGAGGGCAGGAGACGGGAGCGCGGCGTGGTCGCGATCGGCGAACAGAGAGACGGTGAAACGACGGTGAGCAGCAACAGCAGCGGTGGCAGCGGCGGCAGCAGCAGAGCAGCAGGGGAGAAAAAGGTGATCGGCGGGAAGAGAGAAAGAGAGGAAAGTAGACCAAGTCGGTGGATGAAGAGAGAGGCGAGACGATGGTTAGAGAGGGACGGGATGATCGCGAGGAGAAGCACGCACACGAAGAGAATGGTACCGTGGTGGACTGGGCGGGGAGACTGAACCCGTAGGTTGGCGGGTAGGTTGGTAAGTAGGTAGGTAGGTAGGTAGGTGAACCACGAGGAACACACGGTGGACGTTCGCTTGTGTCGTTGGTAGTCTGGGTGGATCGTCGGTGCGCCGCGAGTAGGAAGGTGTGCGCGTAAGGATAGCGAGGAGCTCCCCTGCGTGTTAACCGTGAGAGACGTCGGGAAGGTAAGTGCTCTCCTCTCTTTCAGCCACGGAGTAGCACCACGCCGGCACGCGACCTGCCCTCTCCCACCCCGTCTTTCGTCTCGCGATCTTTCTCTCCTCCTCCTCCTACTCTCTCTCTCTCTCTCTCTCTCTCTCTCTTTCTCGCGCTCTCTTTTCCTCTTCTTCTTCCCCTCGTTCCTTCGCCACTTCTTCTTCCTTTTGCTATAGCGGCAGCGATCTCTCCTTCTAACGCTTCTCGCGAGATCGTTTCCTCTACTAGGTTCCTCCTCGACGTTCTCTCCTTCCCTCTCTTTGCTCCGTGCCGCGAAGGGATTACCGCGAGAGCAACGGAGACGTTTTATCCTCGGCTAGACCCACAGTGTTGGTGCACCACTCCTACCAGGTGGACACTGACACACCGGAATCCTCCCACCAGACGCGAGCGTCTATACCTCCGAAAGGAGAGAGAGAGAGAGAGAGAGAGAGAGAAAGAAACCGAGAGAGGAGCCTGGGTGTAACGCTCGCTATCTCTTCTCTGTCGTTAATCGCGGTGTAACCTCTCGGCCAACTAATTCACCTTTGTAACTGTACCGACACCCCACCGAGAGATCGTACCGATTCGCTCCTCGTTTTTCCTTCGGTTCTCGGAAAACACACGATCCGCGTCTACCCAGGCGAGATCTCGTATTCCGTCGTTCGATCCTATCCGGGACACGACGCGAGAGACGGAAATGTCGCGGAAATGCTAATATTCCCCGTGCTCCGATTTGTCCTCCACAGTCATCGCTGGGGTATTCGTCGACCCGGTTGCCGCACGTGTGCCTTTGTTTCCATTTTATCGACCAGTCCGTCGTTTAGATCGTTTCAGCAGTGCGTCAACGCTTCCACCTCCTGGTCGAGACCCTCTCCTCCTCGGGGACCAGGGCCCAGGGGCCAGGGGCCAGTTCCCACCAAGCGCGTTCGACGTTCGTCGTCTGGCTACGCTCCTTTTCTTCCTTTGCTTCTGCGAGCCACTAATTCACCTCGGTAACTGTACGATTGCCCCACCAGCGAGCCCTTGGCTACTGCCGGTTCTCGGGTCCCCGTGATGACGGTCCGGTTGTCCTAGGACCGGGCCAGTTCGTTACGGTTTCGTTCACGGCCCCCTACCATCCGATCTTTCACGGCTCCTTTCGATTCGTCTTGCGTGGATCACGAGTCGGTGCTCGTGATATTCCGAGCTGATCGATTGTCATCGGGACTTTTTCTCTTCGAGAAAGCGACTCTCGGCGTTCGTCAATTACGTCGAATTAATTTTCCGCCACGTTTACGAAACGACGAATCACGGCGTTAACCGCACTCGACGGTCCCAATTTTCCTCGTCCGGTTCTTCCTTTCGTCTCTTTCATTTCTTTCCCGCCCCTCGTCGGACCAGTGGCTATTAATTTGACACCGTGTGCCTCTAGATACCAGGAAGCCGAGGCGCGTAATGTCTGGGTCACCGATTTAGCTTACGGGATTTTCGGGCTGTCGTTGAACCACGAGCGAACGCGAGTCCGTTGCCCATTTCTCGTTCCAGAATAACGAGTGGCATCGAATGCCATTTTAGCCGTTGGAACACGCGCCATTAAGACCGGAGCGACGCTCCGTGTGTCGGCATCGAAACGCGAAACGCCGTTTTAATTAGCGAACCTGCAAGGTGGATCGGTCGATGATCGTTGCATCGCGCAAATTACTCATCCTTGCGTCGCCATATTTGGTGGAAACTTTATCCAAGTTCTGGCTTTCTGGGTCAATCTCTGGTTAGCTTCTTAGCTTTAGGTTGCTCGAGACGCCCGAGAAACTAAGCACGACGAGTAAATCGAGGAGGCAGTGTAGGTATATACGCCTCGAGACCTTAGATCATCGGATCCTCGTGGATCTGCTCGCTCCGCCTTGTTGCGCAACCATCACCGCCGTCGGTGATCTCGGGCACAGCAGTCCTGACACAGTTACCTGGTCAGAACGTTACGGCCAGATTAAAGAAATGAAAAAAGGAGCCGAGAAACGTGAGCCACTCTCGAAGACCCTTCTCTCCTCCGCGACGCCGTTTCACGGCTTTTTTGCCACCTTTCGTTCACAGAACGAGGAGACTCTTTCTCCCGAACCTTCCGCCAATTTCTCGGCTTCGGATCCGCGTTAGATTTCCGCGCGGATCGCGTTTTCTCCAGATTTCGGGGCTACTTGCGTTTACCTTTTGCCTCCGCGCCCTCGGATGACACAGCGCGACTGCGAGCTTCGAATTCGTAGCGAAGTCGTAACGAAGACGGAGCTGGACTCCGTGATCGTCGGCGAGCTCGCACAGAGACTCGACAAAGGGCGCGAAATCGGCGGGTCGATCGGTGATCTTCGATCGTGATATTTCACACTGACAAAGGTGGGTCGGAATTCGCGACCACGTCGCGACGGATTCTTCCCTCTCGCATTCTATTCTGTACGATGACACTTCCCGCGGGGTTGACACGGGACACGGGACACACGCGTGCACGCGGTGAGAACCCGTCATTAGACGCCTACGCGCGCGAATATCGGCGGGGACGGCGCGAACTGCTCGCGACAGGCCGATGTCGCGACGCAGGGCCCACGATGGACGGAATCGAGGCGGCTCCATGGGTCACAGGCGTCCCCGACGAGGCCGGAAGCTGCGTTGGGTACAGTCTTACCCGTTTCGTTTCGCTGCTCTTACTCTATTACCTACGCTTCTGACGAGGAATAAAGAGCGTATCCTTGGGGTAGCATCGATACTCTCGACTCGATCGATATAAATACCCTGGTAGATATAATTGACGCAACTTTTGCACCTATAAACGAGTCTTTTTACACGGCCACGAGTAGAGGCACCGCTTTCCACTCTTTTTAATAGAGGAAAAAGAACGAAAGAGAGCGCCGTGTTTACGAATCGGATTCCATTTCACCGAACCATCTCCGGCCGATTTTCTCTCACCGGGAGGATCTCGCGGTCACACTCGGCGATCGCCAAGTAGAGTAACAACACCCCGGAGCGACATTACAAATTCTAATGAAACGGAGCTGTAATTGGGTCAGTAAGGTGCCGAACAGTCAGAGGTATTTGCCGCGCGAGGTGCTCGCAGGCACCGCGGGGCCCGATCGGAGCCTGAAATCCCCGGTATTGGCAATCGCGATATCGTAATGCCTTCTCGGGTTCCATCATCGATGTGTCCAAGATCCTCTTTATAGCCGATCGTCGAATCCCGCCCGCAGTGTTGTTGCGCTTTTCGCGGCAGCTTGCGCGAACGCTCGCTCTAAATCTTCCTTTAACGGCGTCGTTAGTTAACCGTTCCGATGCCAATCCGGTCCGGCACTGGGACCCGGGGTCCGGCCTCACGACTCGGACGCTTTCGCAGATCCTACGGGTGGTTGCGAAAACATCTCGCGGCGAGGATCGAAAAGGAAACCGCGAATTGGGAAAAAAAGA